AACAGAACTCAGAGGTCCCGGGTTCGAGCCCTGATCAGAATTACTTGCCTTTCTTTGTTTTGAAGTCAATACACGAGAACCACCCCATGGAAAGGAAACAGAAGACTACACATTACGCTTGTCACATAGCAGCTGTCGACCCTGCCTTTAAAATGATACACTTCTGGCTAATGGTATGAAAATAGAAATCACCGCCACCAATAATTTCATGAAAAGAAAGGAGGCAGAATTGCATATAGCATCTTGCCAAAGGGTATACTGCACTGCGGATCTGCTCCTTCGACGGCCTAAAAATTTGTTCTTGCATGAAGATGAATGAACACGTGACCACAGCGCGTACAAAACGCTTTATGCAAACGTATCAACCACAAAACCACAATCTGCTAGGTTTTCCCGCAAACCAGGACTGGCCTTTAGATACTAATTCTGAGTTGTACCGGCCAATCAACGTACAACTACTACAGTGTATTTCTTCACTACATGGGCAACATTTCTATAACAGTGTACTTTTGGTCTGCATGCTTGCATAACCTCGTTTATGAACAAATGGCAATCTTGTTTTCTGATAATTATTAGCTAATATTATGATAACTGAATTCTTGCACGAACCCACCAGAAAGGGATCAGAGCTGGATGGCAGCGAGAACCTCGCACCACCCGTGGTTACTTGGCACACATCGCTAAACACACTGTAATAGATACTTTTGTTATTAGACGTTTCGATGCTCCTCCCATTAAAAGATCGCTTATGTACTCCAGAAAAACCTAGATCTGAGGTTGCTTTAGATTAGTTTAGATACAGAAGCTGCGGAAACTGATCACTTTTCAGACTTTAGACACCGTTCATTTTTATGGGCCGTTCATGATTAATTTCCCGAACATCTCCGGAAGGTTTGTTTACACATAAAATAATAATGTCTTCAAACAATAAAATAAATTTTTTATTACCATTGTTTCTACACAAAGTCTCCATTTCTTGAAACGTTTTCTCGGAAGTGTGTCTGATCGCCACTGACAGCGCATAATCGCAGCACACTTTAGGATCAGCCCAGCGTTTCCACTTTTCAAAAGCCGCAATCAAAGACTCACCTGCAGCCGGAATAACCGAATCGACTAAAACAAATTTACTAGAAAATAAATCGAACAACAACTGGAGACATTAATAATATTTATTGAGAAACTTTCTACAAGTCTTTGCTATTTAATCATAATACGGAATAAAACTTATGGTTTTAATTCCAGATATGTAATATTTATTTAATTAATTTACGGGATTCATCTTCTGATGAAGGCAGGGACAGCTAACACGTTCGTTAAACTGCACTTTGGCCGATTCAAGCAGCATGACCAAGAGTTTGCAAGGTAATGTCGCAACGGTCCACAGATTACTGATTCGCAACTCATTGTTCAACCTGCAATACTGGATCACGGCGCCGAATCACTGGCTCAATAAACTTCTTAATAACTATGAAAGATGTGTACAGTATCAAAA